ACAACAATATTTCAGTCCTGAATAAAATAAGTTAACTGTTCCACACTGAGCATAAAAATCAATTTAAAATAAATTAAATAAATCTAACACAATTAAAATCACTGTATGTTAAAATATTGGTCAAATAAAAAGGTCTTGACATGGTGCTGAAAAGCATATAATGACGGTGCCAGGCAGACCTCTTTAGGGAGCCTGTTCCATAGTCGGGGCGCCACCTCAGAGAAGGCTCTCCTCTGAGTACTCTGCCTCTAAGAATTTGAGAGGATCAGCCCCATAGTGCTCCTATCCTTCTCTGGCACAGTAATCTGTCAGGACAACCAAGGTAGTTGCAGTAGCAAAGCGGGGTTGGGAATTAAATTAGAATGAATCCAAATAATTTTTGCTCTATTTCAGGCAAATTTAATGTATGTTCAGAATGGTAGCTGCCTGAATCATATGCTTTCAGTTCCTTTCCTCCTGGGCCTACAAATATTTAATATCCTAGAAACCGCCACCCCCACACCCCCACTCACATTGGTAGAAATATGCTACTTTGTTTGGATGCCACTGTTGTCTTAACCTAAGGCTGAGAATTATTATTATTATTTATTATATTTCTATACCACCCATAGCCGAAGCTCTCTGGGTGGTTCACAACGTTGAAGTCCCCCATCCTGATGCCAACCAGGCCTGACCCTGCTTAGCTTCCAAGATGAGGCGTGATCAGGCCCTTCAGGCTGCATGGAAGCTACTAAGAATTAAGCTCTATGAGGTAGAAACAGACCTTTGATGGTGCCAGACATATTGTAGAACTTCCTTCCTAGGGAAGTCCCTCAGCCTTGGTCTACTGTGATATTTAGGAGATCTGCTAGACATGATGAGGTATTGGTATCAGTGTCTGTACATTTTACTTCAATTCTTTAGTGCTGTATGACCATTTGATGCTTAGTTGTGACTGAAGAACAGCCTTTACATTTAAATGCCCTGCTGGTGAACATCCAGAAATCTTTGACTGGGTTTTGATGGATACATGATGCTGAACTCTTTGGGCCTTTGGCCAGGGCCAGAAAAGCATTCTTTAAAAGGTTGCTTTTAAGATGTTTGCTGCAGGTAGTACATGGAACACCAGATTTACCATGGCCCTGCATTCCTTTCTAGACTTCTTAAGTTTGCTTTTGCTAAATCTCAGCTCCATTGATTTCAGTGAGGACCCATCAATTCATTCCAGTTGAGTCCCATTAGTATAATTGGAACAAAACTTTTTCACAGTTGTGTTACAAAGTTTCTCTTTAACTGATTTAGATTATTTGAAAGCCCAACAATTGATTACTAGCAAACCAGAAATTTGCACATGGGTCCTGCTTACCTCAGCATTACATAAGGAGATTCTTGTCAACCATAAAATGATAAATGGGGACTCTATTGGCATAACAGTCCCTAATGGAACCACCATCCCCTGTAGGTCATCTTTGATTCCACATTTAATACTGTGGAAAAGGAAGGTTCTGTATTCAGACTGTATTGGAAAGACAAGAAACCCAGACAAAGCATGCCTCCCGCGTTTCAAGTAATGAGATTGCTTTTGAGATGGTATAGACCAATTTGGATTCTGAAATAAAGCTAGGGGTTAGGGTTGGGGTAAGGATGAACAATGCAAAGACAGACAAGGCTCCTATAGCTTTAAGGCCTGCACAGGAGAGACCTTTTTCAACAGCAGTACCTTTGTGTTCCAAGCAGCACCTGACAATATTCCAATATTTGATAGTGTACTTAGGGAGGGCAAGAAGTTAATGAGGGACCCACAAATTTGCAGCCACTGCTTCTCTCTTACACCTGGCTTTTCCCTGATGGGTAATGATTTTCTTTTGCAGGGGAAACAATGTTTTGAAGCAAACTATGCAAATAAACTTTGCATGCTTCCATACCAGAGAGCCTAAAAGAGCCATATGGACTCAAGTGGGTACTACAGACATGAATTCTTTATTTGCATGTTCCAGATGGAGTGCAGTGGTTAGTTTCCTCCTTTTTTCAGCTTCCCCAGCATTTCCCTCACTAGCTTTTAGATACTTCCTTACTCCTTGCTTTCTCTTCCTACTTCTATGCACTAGAGATCCACATTCTCCTTTCCTCACACTCACCATGCCCAGACATGGTCCTTATCTATTCCTGACCTTTCTCACACTTTTGTGCTTCTGTTTTTGAGCAGGCCCACCCTTCAGGGTACATCTCCACCCATGTTGCTTCTTTAGGACTTCAGAATCCCAGTTCTGGCAACATCTCTGTCCATGCATCTCTTCCTGGGTTAACAGGAGCCATGGCCAAGTGGCCATCTGTCTCCCCGGCATGGCAGTAGGAACTATCAGTTACCATGTGCTTGTTCCAAGTAGAATGATTACAAGAGTTATCTTGTAACTAGACTTGAACAGAAGAGCCCTTCAAACAGACCATGCTTTCAAATTAAGGA